GTATATAATTTAGTAATTTTATATTGTATAATCGTTACTTGTGAACAAAAATAATCAGATTCTTTAATGAATATGCTGTAAGAAAGGAAAAATACGAAAAATTGTGTAAAAAATTGTGTCAAACTTTTTCTTTTTTTTTTTATTGTTCGTTCAGATCATATTTAACTTTAACTTTTCAATTACTTTTTTTATTAACTTAATTCAATTAATTTCATTATGGATTAACTTGTATTTTAATTGAGATAAATTTTCAAGGCTGTTAACTTTAACTTAACTTAGTTAAAAAAAAAGTTAACTTACCCAACTCTGCTCATATCTGATTACGTTCCTTTATGTCATAAGAGTTCCTCTATGTCGTAAGAATCTATAAAGCATTATCCTTTTCAAATACTACTATTAATACAAAAACTACAAATAGTACTATTTTAAGAACGCATCAATTTATCTTTCCTGTGATTTGTGGACAATTGTATGTACCATTGATAAAAAGCGACATATTTCGATCGCATATAATATCATTTTCGTTTCATTTAATATAATATTCGATATATATGTATATATGTATATATATAGCAAATAATATATTATATATATATGTATACATATATACACCTATATTTACATTTCTTGTAACTTCTCTTTTCTTTGTTAAATTAAACGTGCAATTATTGCCTATATATGAAATAGAACATAATATAATATATTAACAAATTAATTATCAGACAAAATTACTTTCCTTTTGAAAACTTCCTACAAAAATACTTTCAAATCTTTCGATCACTTTAATTCACATAGTACTTATATTTTTTTTATCTTAAAATTTTTACTTTAAAAAGATATTATTGTGAAAATAAAAAAAAATTAAAAATACGTTCAGAAATAAAATCCAGATCTTACAAACTTTGAATAATCCTGTCGTAATTATATTGAAAAGTGAAGCTCAAAACAGAATTTTTTAAAGTTATTACACAAACCATCAAATAAACTTATCTCGCGATGAACATTTTCGTACAGATACGATTGATGCCCATAACCCGAACTACATAACCGTCTATTTTTCTTCTTCAAGTTACCTGCAATTTCAAAAGAAAAGTACTTCCAAGCAGCAAAATAGGGAGAAATTACGTCTATTCGACCTTCTGATAGGTTATTAAATCTATTCGACGAAGCCCAATTTAAGGCCGCGGTCCAATTCACGCCCCAGTAAACGAGAATAGATGGAAATGGATTGAAATGGATTCAGATTTTCAAAAATATGGATTCACGAATGTTAAAATGAATGCTTTGCAATCCTGAATGCATTTTTATTCATTTATAGGAATTGCATGGAGCATATCTCTATGCCTTTCAATCTAAAAATAATATCAGCTTTTTCTGTGCATGAATACTGTTCAATTCAAAATTTTAAATAGGAAATGCAGTTTTTTAATCTAATTGCATCCAATTGAATCCAATTAAATCCAAAATAAAGTATTCACTATATTTAAAATACGCATTCGGATAGAAAAAAATTTCAATCCATTTTAATTCATTCTCGTTTACTGGAGCTCACAACGCTTAAAAATCATTTCATCCTTGTTTGTCAAATGTTGAACGAAGACAAATAATGCTCATGACCGTTGTCAGCATGAATCGGACCTACGTCGAATCGATGTCGAAAGAAGGTAAGTGGGGAATAAAGTTGATGTAATTTTATGGTCTAAATTAGATAATGGAAGACATTTCGTCTTATAAGTCATAATCGGATTTGGTCAAATAAATTTAGCAGAAGATCGAATATCGGTAATATTTTGATAATTTTGACCTAATTCTGACGAACTTGTGCCCTCTCTTCTTTTGGCGATTCAGCTCGTCGAGACATCTAAAGATGGTAGCGCTGCACAATCCTAATAATTCTATCTAGACGGGTGACTATGCTACAGCCATATAACATATGCGTGATATGGTTCCAACTAGCCACGGAAGATCGGAATAAAATATTAACAGTCCATCTCCATGTCAGTTTTAAAACTGAATATCGCTCGATATGTGACAGAAATATAAATGCGAAAGAAGATTTTCTGTACAGATTTTTATTTTGTTTCAACCAACGCGCCTTCGAAAACAAATAATTTAATCAATAATTAATTAATCGTTAATTATTTGATAACAATATATTTTGCACTTAGCACAATAAAAACGTTATAATCTCGCACTTACATTAAAAGTAGCGTGAAATAGAAATTTTTTTGCAATTTTTAATCATTCCAAGAGTTATAATATGGTTTATTTTATAATGCATAATTTTGGAAAGCATTTTAATGTATCATAACAGACAGAACAGTTCTCGTAACGATGGCTGACTTATCATTTTCGTCTGAATTTCGACTTGTAGGTCGAATTTCTTTATTGTGAAGGCCAAATGCCTAACTTTGATGGCAAATTTCCTTAATCAAAGCATTTTTACTTCTAAATCGTTGACTCTGAAGGCATTTTATCGATCAATAAGGCATTCTGACTAACAAATCCAATTTCCCTATTTATAAGTTAGATTGACTTCAAAGTCGAGATCTCTGGATCGATACATATCAAAATCGATACATAACCAAAATGTTAGAGATCACGCAACAGTAATACTTAGGGCCTCTTTCATCAACTTCTGGTTAAATTAATCGACAATTAACTCGCAGAAATGCCAATAGCAATTTAATGTATCAGAACGTTTCCTCTCTTCCTCTTCTGTGTTTAGTTCTCACGGTGGCAATCGTGATGATTGAGTTAACATCGATTAGCGTTAGTCGGAGTTGATGAAAGAGGCCCTTAACGCAGAAAGAAAAACGCGTTCTCCCTGATCGAGTTGAGCATGAACTCGACGAGAGCCTCCTGATTATTAATTTCGCATCTTGTACGAGTGACGAATTGATCGAGTTCATGCTCAACTTCTTCGATTTAACTGATGATGAGGAATTATTACAATTTTTTGTAATATACTTTGCTGTGGCGGCGGTAAAGGCTGAGGAGGAGGTAGAGGCGGCAGAGATTGCCGCCTGGGCCGAAGAGACTGCGTGGATAGGGGAGGTGGATGAGGAGGACGATTAGGTGGTGAAGGTGGCAGCTGCGGAGGAGGTAGCGGGAGTATCAAGTAAAAGCATTTTTACATTTTTACTTTTCTCTACGCGCTCCCTCGCCCTATCGCCACCCACCCCCTCCAACAAGTTCCTTTCGCGACCGCGACGCCAGCGCCGCCTGGTGGCAACCAGGTGACTCTATCTGTGGTCCAAAACCCCCATAGTATTACTACTATTTCCTATTAGTCAAGTCAAACACAAAGAACTTATATAAGGCAAAAATTAGATAATTCTGACATATTAAGTCATATCGCCTACGAGGTTGAAATTAGGTAATACAACCAGGTCACATTTCCTTCAAACGAGGTTCTAGCTTTGACTTATAAGTTAAATCGACTTTGAAGGCACATGTTTGATAAAAATTTGGTCATTTATAAGCTAATGTGTAACTTTGAAGGCATTTCGTAGGTTTAAACTTCGTAATTTTCGACCTATATACAAGACTTCAAACCATATTTGACCTTTAAAACATGTTTTATGTTGAGAATTGGTAATTTTTCACTTAATTAGAGCGATCTGACTTTGATTTGGTCAAAATGCCCTGCTTTGCTGCTTGGGCTTTCAGAAAACTTTTGTAATATCTTTTCCTATCAAAATATGTCGATCTGTTTCTTTAAAAATTGCGATTATTAATCACACTTTTCTCGGAAAATTAAATTTCTTAGTTATAAAATACCGTTGTTCATTCGGTCAGCAGGCTGTTTCTCGCGCGTTATAGTGATACTGTCGAGTAAAATTGAAACTGTTCATGTAAATTTATGCCTATTACATTATAATATCTATTATTCGTCCTAATTTATTTGGGACTTGGGTGAATCAATAAATAATCTTAATATGCATCATCTTGATTTTTGGGACAAAATTTAATTTACTTCTTGAGTCATTTATTGTACATTACTCCTAAATCTAATTAAATTTTGCAATGTAAGTCGATTTCCTAACTATAAAACTGGCACGATTATTGTCTATATCGGAGAAAGCCTTTTAGCTACCAAGACACACCGTCGGTGTTCCTTGCTTATTCTTTCGCTATATTTCTTTCCATTATACTCGTACTCATCGTACGGAACATCCAAAAGCTGGTCGAAGTGCAATTTCATCGCAATTTGATAAGAATAATTGGACGTCATGATAGCGGAGGCCAAGGCCGGCACTGCATTCGCATTCGTCACTATGTTGCTGCCTTGTATCGTAATAGGTATCCTCACGTTTTTGCTACATCTCAGTTCCTTACCGATTTCCAACGACGAAGCGATCAGCATTTCACCTATTCGTCGTTTTCCATAATTGGGCAGAGTTGCCAAGAACATGATCTCAAGAATGCAATTGACGTTATAGTGCTTGAAGAGATTTGTTCGCGAGTCCACGTCTATCATGAAGTCCACCAAAGCCTTTGATGATTTGTATCGGCAATTTTCACTGAAGCACTCGAAGAAGCTTTTCTCCGAACTATTGGAGGATACCTGATAAATTGAGAGTAGCCGTAAAAAAAACTTAAGATTTGACAATTCAACTTATTAGAATACAAAATGTCGTACTGGAAAATTGTTTACTCACTTGGATTTTGTTGAACGCGACTCCAACAACCTCGTTAGTGGTGATGTCGATGGCCACCACACTCACGCCGTCCTTAGCCGCGTACAAACAGAGCTCCTCGAGTTCCTTGGATGCTCCCGGTTCGGAATTCAGTTCCACACCTATGCATACGTTCTCGTAGAGGAAGAAGCTCTTTCTTATCACATTGAGAGCACCCTCCAGGGTATCGTCCGACAAGGACTCGTATTCTATCTGACCGTTCTCCGTCGAGCCCCAAGGTCGATAGTAGGACATATTTTTGCGAGTGTTGCTAAGGAACAAGCATGATTTTGTCACGATTATTTCGAAGAACTAAATTCAAAATGAAATAATATGAACAAAAGGAACTTTAATTACTTCAAACAAATTAAAACAAAGGAGGGCTATGGGAGTCAGGCGCGATATAAAAAATGCGCTAAAGGTTAAAGTTTTATTAAGTCACATTTACTCACAATCGTTAAATCAATGGTTTAAAACTTTCCAACAGCCTCTCTTTGTTTTAATTTATTCTAAACGAAATTTCAAAAATTATAAACTATAAACTATCAGGTACGTTTACATTTTCGATCTCGCGAAGTGATGGGCATACAACAATTTTTATGCACAATACAACACCTTGGGTGTATTCCGTTTGACGCATGATATGCATAATGCATCATTTATCCTTGTTTAACATTCGGTGAACAACAAGGATAAATGATGCATCACCACCAATCAAAAATTTTTATGCTACCATTATTTTGCTACTGCGCATCTTCGGCATCTTGTCTAATTCCATTTGATGGAAGAAGACAAGAGGTTTGTTCGCATCGCAAGCTCCAACATGCTCCAACATGCTCCTACCATAGCTCTTACTCACTCCAACACGCTTGATAAAATGAGTAGGAGCTATAACATGTTGGAGCTTGCGAACAAACCTAAGATGTAACAATTTCAAGGATGCGCAGTAGTCAACTAATAGAATTGCTAGTCGATCTGGCAAAAAGCAACATGGTTCCTTCCTGTTATTCCGTCATTACATGTCATAATATAAACACAATTTCTGTAGACTCGAAATTCTTAAAATAAAAATAATAATAACACAATCCGTAAAGGCCATACGAGTCACAGGCTGATGAAGGTGCCAACGATTAATTTCAATCTTAATTAATCATTAATGTGTAGAATCCTCTTTATTGAACGTTTCGACTCACTTTGAAGTCCTTCTCAGCAATACATATGTGTAATTAATATGTTGAGTATTCCGTCAACATGAGTCACTTACAGGTTCCCGACTGTAGTGGATCCTGATTAAAATATCAAAATTAAATTGACTTATCAAAAGAAAAACAACAAATTTTCTTCCTAAGTAACTCACCTCAAACGGAACATTCAATATGTTTCATGAGCTTTGTAAGTTTATATTAACAATCTGATCTTTATTATATACATTTAATTTCAATCTCACATCTCAGGATAACGTAACGTGTTTGTCGAACATTTTATAATTTATAACGG